CACCTGACCCTGCCTGACCTCACCTGATCATGCCTGACCACACCTGACCACAGAAGACCACACCTGACCACATGAGCCACCTGATCACACCTGACTATACCTGACCACACCAGATCATACCAGACCACACCTGACTGCACCTCATTGCACCTGACCTCACCTGATCACACCTGACCACACCTGATCACACCTGACTACACCTGACCTCACCTGATCACACCTGACCACACAAGATCACACCTGACCACACCTGACTGCACCTCATTGCACCTGACCTCACTTGATCACATCTGACCACATAAGATCACACCAGGGCATACCTGACCTCACCTGATCACACCTGACCTCACCTGATCACACCTGACCACACCTGACTACACCTGACCTCACCTGATCACATCTGACCACATCTGACCACAGTAAGCCATGCCTGATCACACTAGGCCTCATCTGACACCTGGCCACGTCAGGCATTGGGGGGCAGTTGAGCTGGGAGCAGGGACTTCCTAGCACAGGCCACTGGGGCTGGGTGCCTCAGTGCAGGCAGGATTAGAACACAAAGGAGGGTCTTGGAGGCCAGATCTCACTGACCCCAGTATGGACCCTGATGGCCCCCAGTATGGACTGCGCTGGCTCCCTGTGCAAACTCCGCTGGCCCCAGTGTAGATCCCCACTGACCCTAGTGTAGATCCCCACTGGCTCCCTGTGTAGATCTCCGCTGACCTCAGTGTAGATCCCCACTGATCCCAGTGTAGATCCCCACTGATCCCAGTTTAGATCCCCACTGACCCCCGTGTAGATCCCCACCCACTACCCCAGTGTAGATCCCTGCTGACCCCAGTGTAGATCCCCATTGACTTCAGTGTAAGTTCCCACTGATCTCCAGTGTAGATCCCAACTGACCCCAGTGTAGGTCCCCACTAATCTCTAGTATAGACCCTGCTGATCCCAGTGTAGATCCCCACTGATCCCAGTGTAGATCCCCACTGATCTCGTGTAGATCCCCACTGATCCCAGTTTAGATCCCTGCTGACCCCCGTGTAGATCCCCACTACCCCAGTGTAGATCCCTGCTGACCCCAGTGTAGGTTCCCTCTGATCTCCAGTGTAGATCCCCACTGACCCCAGTGTAGGTTCCCGTTGATCTCTAGTGTAGACCCCGCTGATCCCAGTGTAGATCCTCACTGATCTCCAGTGTAGATCCCCACTGATCCCAGCTTAGATCCCTGCTGACCCCCGTGTAGATCCCCACTACCCCAGTGTAGATCCCTGCTGACCCCAGTGTAGGTTCCCACTGATCTCCAGTGTAGATCCCCACTGATCCCAGCTTAGATCCCTGCTGACCCCCGTGTAGATCCCCACTACCCAGTGTAGATCCCTGCTGACACCAGTGTAGGTTCCCTCTGATCTCCAGTGTAGATCCCCACTGACCCCAGTGTAGATCCCCGTTGATCTCTAGTGTAGACCCTGCTGATCCCAGTGTAGATCCCCACTGGCCACCGTGAGGACACCACTGGCCCCTGTGAGGACCACTGCCAGTCCCAAGTGGAAGGACCCTCACTGGTGGTCTCCCCAGGGAGCCCACAGAGGCTGAGATCCCACACAGCCCTCCTGGAAGCCCCCAGGACCCAGGGTTGGGGCCAGGGGCTGCTGGGGCAAAACAGGGAGAGCAAAAGAGTAAGGCCAGCAGGGAGGTCTGAGGTAAGAAGCCAAGCAGTGAACCACCCTGCCCCGAGGGGCCACCCAGGAGCCCGGCCAGGCGGAGACCAGGGTTACAGGAGGTCTGAAAGGAGGGTGTTCGGGTGGGGCCCACCAGAGGGCTCCGTGGACAGCCTTTGCAAGAGCTGGGAGGAGGCCCACGCTGTCTTCTGGACAGTGACCACCAGAGGCCCTGGGTCCAGACAGCTAAGGACAGTGCTGGGCTGGGCTCAAAGCTTCCCAGTGGTGGGACACAGAGGAGAGATCTGCTCTCCCTGGAAAGGCTGTGCTGACCCTCCGCTGGCCCTGCACTGGCCCCGCGCTGGCCCTGCACTGACCCTGTACTGGCCTGCACTGACCCTGCGCTGGCCCTGCGCTGAACCTGTGCTGAACCTGTGCTCTCCCCCTCCTTCCCTCCCTCCCCACAGGCTGCAGCCCAGGAAGCCAGCGCCCTCCTGAATGCAGGGCGCCCCGCGCAGGCCCTGGGCTACTGCTCCTTAGCTGTCCTGGCGGATGGTGGCCCTGCTCACCTGCGCCTTCGCGCCTCCTGCCTAGCCCAGCTGCAGGAGTTTGGCAGGGCGCTCCGGGACCTGGACCGTGTGGTCCAGGACGGCGCCGGGGACGGAGACCTGCCGACTCGCACAGAGGACCTCTGCTCCCGAGGCCACCTGCTGCTGAGCCTCGGAGATGAGGACGGGGCCGCAAGAGCCTTTGCCCAGGCCCTAGAGCTGTCACCCACCCAGACCCAGGGCCGTCTGCTGGAGCGGCCAGGTCGGACGCGCGTGGCCCATGCGTTCCTACGTCTGGGACAGCGCTGTCTGGAGGGGCAGTGCTTCGAGGAGGCCTGGGCAGCCGCTCAGAATGGGCTCCTGATCGACCCTGAACACAGCGGGCTGAGGAGGCTGAAGGCAAGGGCACGGACGGAGGCATCCTCTGGCTGCC